TGGTGGTGGTGGTGGTGGTGGTGGTGGTGGGTGAAGGGTGGTGGTGGTGGGTGGTGGTGTGGTGGTGGTGGTGGTGGTGGTGTGGTGGTGTGGTGGTGGTGGTGGTGGTGGGTGTGTGTGTGGTGGTGGTGGTGTGGTGGTGGTGGTGGTGGTGGTTGTGGTGGTGGTGGGGTGGTGGTGGCGGTGGGGTGGGCTGGGGTGGTGGTGGTGGTGGTGTGGTGGTGGGGTGGGGGTGGTGGTGGTGGTGGTGGTTGTGGTGGTGGGTGGTGGTAGGTGAGGGGTGGTCGAGGGCTGAGGGTGGCTGTGGTGGTGGTGGTGGTGGTGGTGGGTGGTGGTGAAGGTGGTGGTGGTGGTGGTGGTGGTGGTGGTGGTGGTGGTGGTGGTGGTGGGTGGTGGTGGTGGTGGCTGTGGTGGTGGTGGTGGTGGTGGTGGGTGGTGGTGGTGGTGGTGGTGGTGGTTGTGGTGGTGGTGGGTAGGGTGGTGGTGGTGGTGGTGGTGGTGGTGGTGGGGGGTGTGGTGGTGGTGGTGGTGGTGGAGGTGTGGTGTGGGTGGTGGGTGGTGGTGGTGGTGGTGTGGTGGTGTGGTGGTGGTGGTGGTGGTGGGTGGTGGTGGTGGTGGTTGGTGGTGGTGGTGGTGGTGGTGGTGGTGGTGGTGTGGTGGTGGTGTGGTGGTGGTGTGGGTGGTGGTGTGGTGGTGGGTGGTTGTGGTGGTGGTGGTGGTGGTGGTGGTGGTGGTGGTGGTGGTGTGGTGGTTGGTGGTGGTGGTGGTGGTGGTGGTGGGGTGTGGTGGTGGTGGTGGTGGTGGGGTGGTGGGGGGTGGGGTGGTGGTGGTGGTGGTGGTGGGTGAAGGTGGTGGTGGTGGTGGTGGTGGTGGTGGTGGTGGTGGTGGTGGTGGTGGTGGTGGGTGGTGGTGTGGTGGTGGTGGTGGTGGTGGTGGTGGTGGTGGTGGTGGTGGTGGTGGTGGTGAAGGTGGTGGTGGTGGTTGGTGGTGGTGGTGGTGGTGTGGTGGTGGTGGTGGTGGTGGGTGGTGGTGTGGTGGTGGTGGTGGTGGTGGTGGTGGTGGTGGTGGGTGGTGGGTGGGTGGGTGGTGGTGGTGGTGGTGGTGGTGGTGGTGGTGGGTGGTGGTGTGGTGGTGGTGGTGGTGTGGTGTGGTGTGGTGGTGGTGGTGGTGGTGGTGGTGGTGGTGGTGGTGTAGGTGGTGGTGGTGTGGTGGTGGTGGTGGTGGTGGGTGGTGGTGGTGGTGTGTGGTGGTGTGGTGGTGGTGGTGGGTGGTGGTGGTGGGGTGGTGGTGGGGTGAGGGTATGAGGAAAGGAGGAAATTCAATATCTTTTCTCCTCACATCAAAATTTTAGACTAATTATAAATATTTCAATCAACACAACACCAAAAACTATGGAAACAAACAACAAACAAACAGACAAACAAACAACAAACAAAAAACAAACACACCATTAAGGAGGATACAGTATGTCACACCATTAAGGAGGAACAGCATATGTCACACATTAAGGAGGATGCATATGTCACACCATTAAGGGGATAACAGCATTGGGGTGTGTCACACCATTAAGGGATAACAGCATATGTCACCATTAAGGAGATACAGCATATGTCACACCATTAGGGAGGATAAAATGTCACTAAGAGGAAGATATGTCACACCAGGAGGATACAGCATATGTCACACCATTAAGGGTGATAACAGCATATGTCCACCATTAAGGAGGGATAACAGCATATGTCACACCATTAAGAGGATAACAGCATATGTCACACCATTAAGGGAGATAACAGTATGTCACACTATTAAGGGAGTGATAACAGTATATGTCACACCATTAAGGGAGGATAACAGCATATGTCACACCATTAAGGGAGAGGAGCATATGTCACACCATTAAGGGAGGATAACAGCATATGTCACACCATTAGGGAGGATAACAGCATATGTCCACCATTAGGGAGGATAACAGCATATGTCACACCATTAAGGGAGGATAACAGCATATGTCACACCATTAAGGGAGGATAACAGCATATGTCACACCATTAGAGAGGATAACAGCATATGTCACACCATTAAGGGAGGATAACAGCATATGTCACACCATTAAGGGAGGATAACAGCATATGTCACACCATTAAGAGAGGATAACAGCATATGTCACACCATTAAGGGAGGATAACAGCATATGTCACACCATTAAGAGGATAACAGCATATGTCACACCATTAAGGGAGGATAACAGCATATGTCACACCATTAAGGAGGATAACAGCATATGTCACACCATTAGAGGATAACAGCATATGTCACACCATTAAGGAGGATAACAGCATATGTCACACCATTAAGGAGGATAACAGCATATGTCACACCATTAAGGAGGATAACAGCATATGTTCACACCATTAGGGAGGACAACATCATGTCACACCATTAAGAGAGGATAACAGCATATGTCACACCATTAAGGGAGGATAACAGCATATGTCACACCATTGAGGAGGATAACAGCATATGTCACACCATTAGAGGATAACAGCATATGTCACACCATTAAGGAGGATAACAGCATATGTCACACCATTAAGAGAGGACAACATCATATGTCACACCATTAGGGAGGATAACAGCATATGTCACACCATTAAGGAGGATAACAGCATATGTCACACCATTAAGGAGGATAACAGCATATGTCACACCATTAGAGAGGATAACAGCATATGTCACACCATTGAGGGAGGATAACAGCATATGTCACACCATTAAGGGAGGATAACAGCATATGTCACACCATGGGGGATAACAACATATGTCACACCATTGAGAGGATAACAGCATATGTCACACCATTAAGGGAGGATAACAGCATATGTCACACACCATTAGGGAGGATAACAGCATATGTCATAGCACTAGGAGGAAGGGTGAAAGAAAGGTAGAGGAGGTGCGTCACTTTCACTTTGTGTCTGTATAAAGGATGGGTGGGGGTTGAGACTACATTCTCCTCCTCCCTCCTTCCCTCCCTCTCTCCCTCCCTCCTCCCTCTCCCTCCCTCCTCTCCCTCCCTCTCTCCCTTCCTTCCTTTACCTCTCCCCCCTCTCTCCCTCCCTCCCTCCCCTCCCCTCTCTCCCTCCCTCTCTCTCCCTCCCTCCCTCCCTCTCTCCCCTCCCTCCCTCCCTCTCTCCCCTCCCTCCCCTCTCCCTCCCTCTCTCCCTTCCTCCCTTTACCTTCCTTCTTCCTCCTCCCCTCTCTCCCTCCCTCCCCTCTCTCTCCCCTCCCTCCCTCCCTTCCCTCCTTCCACCTCCCTCCCTCCCTCTCTCCCTCCCTCCCTCCCTCCCCTCCCTCTCTCCCCTCCCTCCCTCTCTCCCCCTCCCCTCTCTCCCTCCCTCTCTCCCTTCCCTCCCTTTCCTTCCTTCCTCCTCCTTTCTCCCTCCCTCCCTCTCTCCCTCCCTCCTCCCTTCCCCTCCCTTCCCCCCTCCCCTCCCCTCCCTCTCCCTCCCCTCCCTCTCTCCCTCCCTCCCTCCCTCCCTCCCTCTCTCCCTCCCCTCCCTCCCTCCCCTCCCCTCCCCTCTCCCTCCCCTCCCTCCCTCCCCTCCCTCCCTCCCTCTCCCTCTCTCCCTCCCTCTCTCCCTTCCCTCCTTTACCTTCCTTCCTCCCTCCCAGACGCCGCAACATAACCAGGTAATAATAACCTACACATGACCCATAACCTGTGTTCTTGTTGGTAGTGGGTTGTAGTGGGCTTGGTAGTGGGTTGTAGTGGGCTTGGTAGTGGGTTGTGGTGGGATTGGTAGTGGGTTGTAGTGGGCTTGGTAGTGGTGGGTTGTGAAATCAGTGCCCCACAATCTTGAGTCTATTCCTTGAAGAAAAATAAACACACACACACACACACAGAAAAGGGCCTGCAGAATCATGCTTGGCACAGAATACTCTGGCTACATCAACGCTCTCTCTCCACCCTGGAAATGCCATCCCTCAGTGACCTCCATCACCAAGCACCGGAAAGGTTTGGCAGCCAACTAATGCACCACCCTCATCATCTCCACCTCCTGCCACAGGCAGCCCCCCACCCACCTCGCACAGTCGGCCACTACAACAAAATTCAGCCCACAAGAGCCCGCACCGATAGATATAAGAATAGCACCATCCCATCTATTGTTAAAATAATAAACAACTCCTGATTTATGTACTGTACAGCCCTGTAAATGTATTCAACGCTTATTATATCATAATGTCTAAATCAAATTTGTCTGTATATTTTCAGCCACCGGCTGCAACTCTATTAATAAACCGTTATTATTATTATTATCATTATTATTACACACACACACACACACACACCTGTTCGTAATTACCCAAATAATTATGATAACTAGAAGAGGAATAACCTAACCTAACCTAACTTAACCCGGGAATAAGTGTTGTGGTCGTACGGTCAGGTTAATAACGGGATGGTCATTAGCAATATGTCACAGTGATGAATGCTGAACAGGTGCTACGTGAGGTGAAGGTAATGCTAATCAACAGAGGAAGGTTAGATTAAGTTAGGTTAGGTTAGACCTCTTGTAGTTATCATAATTATTTGGGTAATTACGAACAGGTGAGAGAGAGAGAGAGAGAGAGAGAGAGAGAGAGAGAGAGAGAGAGAGAGAGAGAGAGTTGGAAGGAGCGGTGGGTCTTCAAGATCTTACTCCGCCTCCCCAGGTAGAAATCCCCTCTCGCTTGTATCCTTTGCCTTTTCTTTCCTACTGTGGCGTCCCTCTCATCTTTGTCTCCTCTTCCTTCCCATCCTTCCCTCTTCCTCTCCATCACCTCTAAAGGACACTCTTCCTTCTACCTCACCTCTCAAGGGCACTTCTCCTTGTACCTCACCTCTCAAGGACTTTCTCCATCCCTGTTCGTCCCATCCATAAGTATTTCCTTCATTACCCGGGAATAGATAAGGCAGCAGGTATAAATAAGAGCCCAACCACCAGTCCCCATTAGTAGCCGTCACAGTAGCTCAAGGTAAGGTTGTACACACTCCTAGAACACTCATAAGGTGATCCAGTTTCCGATGATAGATGTGAACTATATTACAAAGGCATTATATGTGTCCTATTTCTTATTTTGTGGATGGAATTAATGTGTTACCTGTTATAGATGTGATAGATTATAAGGCGATATTGATATCATGTTTGGGGTGGGATAATATTTACATCAGGAGAGTGTATAGAAAATAAAAATTGTCTCCGGCAGTAAATGAGTGATTAAGTTAGTTATATAGGGTGTTGATATAGGTAATTATCGATGTTTTAATTGATTTTTAGTTAGGTTCATCTTTTGTGGATTAGGTAAATTAATTGTTTATTGTCAGTCAGTGAGAGTGTGAATGGGTTGTGAGGGAGGGGGAGAGAGAGAGAGAGAGAGAGAGAGACCTTAGAATCCCTACCTCATCTTAGCACTTAAATAATTAATCAATAAATATCACCAACACTAATCTGTTCTCCTACGTGTCTCTAGCATAAACAATGAAGGTCCTCCTCGTCGTCGTTTTGACACTGGTCGTCGTGGTCTCCTCCAGGATGCCGTATGTGCTTCCTGGTGGGTTTGAAAGTATAATACAGGGCCGTTCTCTCGTTAATACCTTCAACTGTGCCGATCGCCCCTTCGGCTACTATGCAGATGTCGATAACGATTGTGCTATCTTCCACGTCTGTCAGCCAATAGTCGACGGTGCCGGGGAGGTGAGACAATTAACGTGTTACTTGGGTGTTGTGGTGATACAGAGTCCTATTTTATCACTAACCTAACCTAACCTAACTTAACCTAACCTAACCTAACCTAACCTAACTTGAAAATATTAATAAACCAATCTTGACCTATGACCTGACATAATAACCTCCTGACTTTCTCTTCACAGGTGTTGGAGATGGCCCACTTCACCTTCATCTGTGGCAACAGCACCGTCTTCAACCAGGAGTCACTCACATGCGCCACCCCCGAGCTGGCCATCCCCTGTGACCAGTCCGCCTTCTTCTACGACTCCACCAATTCGGAGTTCGGCGTCATCCCCAACACCGAGCTTATTTCATTACTTCGCTCTGGTAGAATAAATGATCTTAGCTTCTAATTATCAAGATGGATGATTTCAAGGCGATACTTTGTTTAAGATTAATAATGATAAGGAATTCCTCTTATTTTTATAACAGTATTATAGACATAGATTTATGATCATTTACTGTAAATTGTATATAGTATTTGATGTTATGTCTATCGATGTGATGTTTTTTTTTTTTTATAAACAGTAGAAAACGTGTTTGGAGATTCATGTGTTTGTCTTCCATATAAAAAAAACTATTCTCAATCATGGTTCTTTTGTTAAATTCAATTATTGTATTTTTTGTGATTTCTGAATGTGATTTTCCTTCTTCAACAAATATTGAAAATAATCATAAGTTTACTGCTGGTCTTCGTGGGGCCATCATAAGTGGTATATACACACACACACACACACACACACACACACACACACACACACACACACAGGTTTTTCTTGAGATTAAACTGTGAATATTTCAAATCCTCTTTTCATTCCAAACTCCACAACTTGATGAAGAAATTGTCTTTATTGATAGAAAGTATTATATAAGGAGTCAATGGTGATATGTACACGCCCATACACGTAGATGACCTGTAGCCTAACCTAACCTAACCTAATCATGGTAGTGTATAGCTGACATAGTAAAAACATGATGTATAGTACAGTTGATATGCCGTGTGTTGGAGTATTGACATGAGATACACACACACACACAAACACACACACACACACACACACTAGACTAAAACAGCTTTGTAGGTAAATGCACGCAGTTGTAACTAAACATTCTAATCGCCTCAGTTACAGGAAACTCAGGTTCCAAGTTACGAGGACTAGTTAGCTGTCACCTTACCGTAGTAATTATGTGAAAGGTGAGTTGAGAATCAGGAGTATTATTGTGGTTTACTTATGAAGCAACAGCCATGACTACTAAGCTATGAAGCAACAGCCATGACTACTAAGCTATGAAGCAACAGCCATGACTACTAAGCTATGAAGCAACAGCCATGACTACTAAGCTATGAAGCAACAGCCATGACTACTAAGCCCATGACACAGGCTATTGAAACCGACGTTGATCCCAGTATTAACTCACCCCGGCCACGACTCGATTAAGTGTCGTTAAACATTACTGAGAGCAATCGATGGCGTAAAGTGCTGATTTTTTGACTGTGCAAGATTGAGTGCGTGGAGTAGAGTAGAGTAGAGTAGAGTGAAGCTGTGGGAAGATAAATCTATTAGGATGTGAAAAATAAGCACCGCCTATATTCTCTCGTGCGGGACTGTGATTGGTTACTGTGGCTGCTTCTGGAGCGGGATGGTGATACAGGTGGGTGGGTGAGTGAGTGGGTTACCAGTCTTTTCCCAGTCATACTCGAGGCGGGAAGCAGACTATGGTGGGCACTGAGTATGAGATAAGCTGGAGGAGATATTCTAAAATGGATTAGGGCGTGGTTACAGGACAGGAAACAGCGAGTAAACATTAACGGCACTAAATCCCATTGGGGTAACGTTACTAGTGGAGTACCCCAAGGCTCAGTACTTGGACCATTATTATTTATTATATACAAAACGACATAGATATCGGCGTAGACAGCAACATAAGTAAATTTGCTGGTGACACTAAAATAGGGCGTGTAATTAAATCTGACGAGGACTGCACAAAACTACAGGAAGATTTAAACAAATTTTTCGCATGGTCTGAAAAATGGCAGATGAAATTTAATGTGAACAAATGTAAAGTACTTAGTCTAGGAGATGTAAATAGAGAAACCAGATACCAGATGAACAACGTTGTTTTAGAGAAATCAGACTGTGAGAAAGATTTAGGAGTAATGATAAGTAAGAATCTTAAACCAAGTCAACAATGTGTATTTGTTCGAAACAAGGCTAATAACATACTTGGGTTCATACAAAGGAGTGTTAGTTACAAGACTAGAGAGGTTATCCTAAAACTATATCTTGAGCTTGTCAGACCTCACTTGGACTACGCAGTTCAGTTCTGGTCACCGTACTACAGAATGGATATAGAATCCCTGGAAAAAAATCAAAGGCGAATGACAAGACTAATCCCTGGCATTAGAAACCTTGAGTATAGAGACAGGTTAAAGCATCTTAATTTGCACTCCCTCGAGAGACGTAGAGTGAGGGGCGATATGACAGAGGTGTATAAATGGAAGTCAGGGCTGAACAAAGGTGATATAACAAAGGTACTCAAATTATCCAACCAGGAGCGAACTCGTAGCAATGGTTTTAAATTCAACAAATTTTGATTTAGGCGCGAAATAGGTAAACATTGGTTTGGTAATAGAGTAGTGGATGAGTGGAACAAGTTACCAAACATCATCATTAACTCGAACACTCTGGATAGCTTCAAACATAGGTTGGATGGATATATGAGCGATAGGGGTTGGGTGTAAACTGGACTGCCCAGTATGGGCCAAGAGGCCCGCTGCAGTTTCCTCCATTCTTATGTTCTTATGTTTATTAGGGTGAAATATATATATTTTTTTACTAATCACATGAGTATAATATTAAAGCGAAATAAACTAATGCTCAACTCCTGAAAAATACCCTGGTATTACAATATTACCCAAGATCTGCCAGAATATATGGCTTAAATTACTTAAAATGAAATATTAATGTTATGTTCCACGCTAACACACACACACACACACACACACACACCTAAAAAAATTGCAATTGAGATCATATTTATACGTCAATACAAACTACTTCTGCAATGACGTAACGAACAATGGCGTGACTTCCATGCTAGAACGAAGAGGATGACGTCACTTTCTGTAATCGAGGACTCAATACACTGTTATAAAACTGTACTCAAGAACACCCCCTTTCTCATCTTCCTCTGTTCACTGATCATCCTCCCTCTACACCTCCCTCCATCAACACAAAACCAGGAAATTCTCAAGGGTAAGACATACTGACTTACTGAAGCATTTATTACCTTATTTAAAGCTGCAGTACCAAGAAGCTTAACGGGATCATGGGTTATAACAATAAGCTGATTTCATATAAGCTTACATGGTTCGTATTGTGAGATAGAGTAAAGAGGAGAGTATAATTCCAGGTTGAATAAGACATCGGTAAGAAAATGCTTTGAAGGTTCCGAAAATTATGAGAATGTTGACATTATTTTCAAGTACAATATTAGTTTCAACTTAATAGCTCTGGTGAAGAGTTACTAGCTCAGGGGAAGAGTTAATAGCTCAGGGGAAGAGTTACTAGTTCAGGAGAAGAGTTAATAGCTCAGGGGAAGTGTTGCTAGCTCAGGAGAAGAGTTAATAGCTCAGGGGAAGAGTTGCTAGCTCAGGGGAAGAGTTACTAGCTCAGGAGAAGAGTTACTAGCTCAAGAGAAAAGTTAATAGCTCAGGGGAAGAGTTGCTAGCTCAGGGGAAGATTTACTAGCTCAGGAGAAGAGTTACTAGCTCAAGAGAAAAGTTATTAGCCCTGACGAAGAATAACTAACCCTAGCGAAAACACGTGAGTGAATATTTGTATAAAGGAAGAATCTACAACGAAGAATGAAAAAGAAAACTTGATAATAATAATGTAATGATATAGGAATGAATTAAGAGTATTTACTATTAAGAGGAATAGTGTATTGAGTGTGAGGAAGACCTTATTATAACTTATACTCGCTGAGGTGTAAGGTAGGTGTCTGGGAATAACCTTACACCAAGATTAAGAGCTGTAATGAGGGACTGTAATTATTGTTATTGGTGATTTGATAATAGTGAATAGTAATAATAATAATAAATATAATTAAAATTACGTTATTATTGTTGTTATTGTTATTATTGTTATTGCTGTTATTATTATTATTATTATTATTATTAATATTGTTATCCATACATTAATTTTATTGAACTAATTATATCATTTATCTAGACTAAAATAATGTGTAGGTACGATTACCATACACAGAACATTCTCCTCATTCTTCTCTTCGTAACAGTAATTTTTTGCCTCCTTAACACTGCCGGCTGAGAGGTGAAGGTTAAGGCCAGAGAATGTCCTCAGCAACATGGCAAATACCCGGTGAAAATTGACCCTCACCCTCCCTCTCACCCCCTCTCTCTCTCTCTCTCTCTTTCTCTACTATAGACTTTGGACTTCAAGGGTATCCACTCACTGACCTTCACCCTCTCCCTCCTCTCCCTTCTCCCCCTGTCCCTTATATAATCCATCCTTCCCTCCCTCCCTCCTCCCTCCCCTCCGTCCTCAGCCCCCTCCCTCATACCCCTCCCTCCATCCCTCATTTAACATCATGTCATCCCTCCTTTCCCCATCCATCTCTTGCTCCCTCCCTCAGCCCCTCCCTTATCCCCCTTCCTTCTTCCTCTCCCTCCCTTCCTCCCTCCCTGCCTCCATTCCCTATACCATACCTTCCTACCCACCACCCCTCTCCAACACCGCCCCTTCCCACCACCCCTACCACCTCCTCCTACACCCACCCCCTCCTACACCACCCTCCATTCCTACACCACCCCCTTCCTACACCCCCCTCCTACACCACCCCCTCCTACACCACCCCATTCCTACACCACCCCCCCCTCCTACACCATCCCTCCTACACCACCCCCTCCTACACCACCCCATTCCTACACCACCCCTCCTACACCACCCTCCTACCACCCCCTCCTACACCACCCCCCTCCTAACTGGTCACTAGGTCCAGCCAGAGATGCCTATGAAGCTCCTGCGGCTCCGAGGTATAAATACAACCCCACCGAAGGCTCTACAGTAGTTCCCCGGCAGCACAGGAGAAACATCATCTTTAACCACAGTACTCTCAGGTTTGAACCGTACACTGAGATCCTTGTTCTGTAGTACACTGTAGAAGGCGCTGTAGATTGTCAGTGTATCAACAAATTTAGATAAATATTTGCTACCTGTTTTCTTTATCGACTTGTACAGCTTCAGGATATAAATTAGGTGTTTTGTGATAAGATTAAAATGAATAGCGTTAAGTTGTATAAGGAATTAGTCTCTCACGGTCAAACTACTCGGAATAGACAAGGTTTCACGCGATCATCACGAAAGTAGTGTTTGTATACAGTTTACTGAGACACCTTATGACATTATTCCACATTGGAGAGATAAACTGCCCTGTGGCTTGAATTTCAATATAAAAACTTTGCTTTTTTTAGATGTTGAAAATACTAGGTTTTGTTAGTATGTGTCAACGATTTTCTGCACACACACACACACACACACACACACACACACACACACACACACACACGTACTATTGTAGATGATGTGAGTACTCCTTTGTTGTGTGGGCAGTGTGGGGGGATGAACACAAGGCTCTGGTAGTGTGGGGGGGAGGAACACAAGGCTCTGGTAGTGTGGGCAGTGTGGGGGGAGGATCACAAATACCCTCCAACACCCACAGACCACATGATTGTATTTTGTTCATTATCCTAAAACACCTTCAGATTTTTTTCGATCATAATTAAGTTAAAACATTTGGTATTATATAACTGTTTCGGTTCTTCCTCTTAACAGGTACTCAAAAGACTCGACGATTATATTCTTCTATGGAATGTTTATGGTCAAAATCTTTAGTGGATACAATTTAACGAGATGATTTGTTGATGTGGATATTGACAGGACAGGACAGTAAATGTGGATGTTGACAGGATAGGACAGTAAATGTGGATGTTGACAGGATAGGACAGTAAATGTGGATGTTGACAGGATAGGACAGTAAATGTGGATGTTGACAGGATAGGACAGTAAATGTGGATGTTGACAGGACAGGACAGTAAATGTGGATGTTGACAGGACAGGACAGTAAATGTGGATGTTGACAGGACAGGACAGTAAATGTGGATGTTGACAGGACAGGACAGTAAATGTGGATGTTGACAGGACAGGACAGTAAATGTGGATGTTGACAGGACAGGACAGTAAATGTGGATGTTGACAGGACAGGACAGTAAATGTGGATGTTGACAGGATAGGACAGTAACGTGAATATTTGTTTATATGTTAATTGTCTTGTGTATCCATTGGTATTATAGTAAAGTTTGAGAAGCATAAATACTTCTTCACCAGATTGTATCTTGTCTTCGTTTCAGCCAACAAGATGCAGTACCTCCTCGTTGTGTTTTCCTTGGTCGCCGCCGCCTCTGCTAGGATGGCTTTTGTGTTTCCTGACGGTGTAGAAACGTATTTCAAGGGTCGTTCTCTCGTCAACACCTTCACCTGTGACACGCGTCCTTACGGCTACTACGCTGACATCGACAACGGATGTGCTGTGTTCCATGTCTGTCAGCCAATCGTCGACGGTGCCGGGACGGTGAGGAGACTGACATTCATCTGTACAATAACAAACATCACATAATGTCAGCATATCATTGTAGGTTTGTGCTCTACACCTTCATGGTAATTGAGCTGTAGTCTTGATTTTTTTTTTCTCCTTCGTCGCAGGTGTTAGAGATGGCACACTTCTCCTTCCTATGTGGTGAGGGGACAGTCTTCAGCCAGGAGTCCCTTACCTGCGCCGCCCCCGAGCTGGCCTTCCCCTGTGACCAGTCCGCCTCCCTCTACGACTCCACCAACTCCCAGTTTGGTTTCATCTCTGAGTCCGCGCCCCTACTAACCCCCCGCGTCTTAGTTCCTGCTGCTGAGGCCATTTTCGAAGCCGAGGTCAATATCGAACCCGAAGCCGATGCCATTATCGAAGCCGAGGCTACTATTGAAGCATAACAACACTGTTCCCCAAGCTTCAATTTCACAAACTCTCCGTAATAAAATCGACCCATGACATTATGAAGCTATGAAGCGTTACCCTGAGTTACCCTTGTCTTCTGAACTATAAAATAACTATACAGGAAATATTTTATAGCTCAGTATGAATTTATTTGCTCAATGTGGTGGAGTTTGGTTCTCACATATCTTCACCCATACAGATTTGTCCTCTCTGGAAGAACTCAGTCCCAAGTATAAATTAAGACAATCCTTATATCCCTTAACGTGAACTTTCTGTAGTTATCAATTATCAGGATCTACAAAAAATCTATTACGATTATATCTATGTATTTTTGAAGTCATTTGGAGATATGTATAGAGAGGAAATACATCAATATACACCTGTTTAAGCATTTATAAACCTCATGATTTCTTTATCCTTAAACCAGTACCAATATACATGCCATTGTGAAAACCAGAGTCAGTTGTATAGCTCTAAGTATGTTGAATAGATGTGTGTATGTGTGTGTGTAACTTTTTCACACACACACACACACACACACTCACACACACTGAACATTATGTGTTTTTCCCCAAGTCATATTACCATAGTCTCACTATACACTATACTATCACCATACCTTCTAATACTTAGGCCTATTCACTATACATTTATCATACCTGAATATCTTGTAAAATATCACCAGGTATTAGACTTCACTACCACCATATTGTCACTATATCGTTAATGAACAGATTAACACCACTACTTCTCAGCATATAATCACTATACTTTCACCATTATATATCACCAATATTTTTTCATAAGTTTTATACCATATTATCACTATATCTTCACCATACACCATAATTATCACCCTATATTTCGTTCACCATACCGTCACCTATATACATGATCCTCACACTATATCATCACAGCTACATGCTCATCATACCCTCACTATGCACCATAAGGTAAGGTAAGGTAAGGTAAGGAAAGTATTTTTTTTCAAATTTCTTTCAGTTTATTATAAATACATGTACAGTACACACATCCATTTTCCAAAGAGAGAGAGAGAGAGAGAGAGAGAGAGAGAGAGATTACAGGTAAGTACAACAGGTAACCTAATGTGAGCTGTAGAGTCGTTGTGCATTTGTGTGTACATGTATTGATGTGTGTGTGGGGGTGTTGTTGTGTGTGGGGGTGCTGTGTGGGGTGTGTTGTGTGTGTGGGGTGTTGTGTGTGTGTGGGGTGTTGTGTGTGGGGGTGCTGTGTGTGTGGGTGTGTTGTGTGTGTGGGGGTGGGGTGTTGTGTGTGTGTGTGGGTGTGTGTGTGTGTGGGGGTGCTGTGTGAGTGGGTGTGTGTGTGTGTGGGGGTGGGGTGTTGTGTGTGTGTGTGTGGGGGTGTTGTGTGTGTGGGGGGGGTGTGTGTGAGGGTGTGTTGTGTGTGTGTGTGTGGGGGGTGTTGTGTGAGGGGTGTGTTGTGTGTGTGTGGGGGGGTGTGTGAGGGGTGTGTTGTGTGTGGGGGGTGTGGGGAGTGTGGAGGGGGTGGGGTGTTGTGTGTGGGGGTGTTGTGTGTCGGGGGTGGGGAGTGTGGAGGGGGTGGGGTGTTGTGTGTGGGGGTGTTGTGTGGGGAGTGTGTTGTGTGTGTGTGGGGGGCCTACTTGTGTGTATGTATGTGTGTGTGTATGATATTTCTCTGCTTTCGATAGTGAGTATTTATGATTGCCTGGTATACACTCATATCCATAGTGCACACGAGTGTAGTTAATCCGTATACCTGGGTGCATATGTGTGTATGTACCTTTGTATTAGTTATAAATATATGCATATACAGGTGTATTAACTGTTTGTTCATGTAATAGTTTTATTTGTGTATAAGTATAATGAAATATATTTGTATTATTGTATATTTTATGAGGTTCATATGTGTATTGTCTGCGTTGAATCGTAGATATATGGTATACAGTGTCAGAGAGAGAGAGAGAGAGAGAGAGAGAGAGAGAGAGAGAGAGAGAGTATTGTAAGTACAAGCTCCAATACATACACATCTAGCACGGACACACAACGTAATCTTAAGACACTTTTACGACCAATAACCAAGAAGAGTGCTTTAGTGACTCAGGTAAGTGGACTCAGGACCATCCACGGGTATTCAGGAAATCGTGGTCGTACGGGTAATGAGTTAAGCTTAGATTATACACTCAGTATCCATGAAGATTTCAGATTACATTTCCCTAAGATTATAAAAAAATTTGAGATTTTTTTTTTGTTTTTTTTTTGGGGGGGGGGGGTAATGGTCAGTCATGTCTCTCATCTCATTATCTAGGAGTCTTTTGTGTAATTAGTAGTGATTTAATACCGTTTTATGTCTTTTTTTGGATGTGAATTGTAAATCTGCATTTATGCATGACGTGTTTGTTCATGTGGCAGAATTAAACGTTTAGAACAATTCTTCAGATTCTGTTGCTTGGGGACGTTCATTTGCTTGGCTACGTAATTCTGCTTGGGCACGTTCTTCTTCTTGGGCACGTTCCAATGTATGGGCACGTCTTTCTGCTTGGGCACGGTTCTTCTCCCGCCAGTCGATTAGGAGTTGGAGGTTGGAGTGTTCGTAGATGGTGTCAGACTCGGAGCAGGGAAAGGCCTTCTTCGGGTGAGCACAGGCCAGCAGCTCCTGGTCGAAAATAGTCCCTGGTCCACAGAGGAAAGTGAAGTGCGCCATCTCCACCAGCTAAGAAGGAAAACGGAAATGAGTAAGGAATGTAATAGATAATTCTCTTCTGGGTGGAATGAGAACGACTGACCCAAAGATACAATGAGCTGACTTACCAGTGACACAACAGACTGAGTAGTAAAGATCAGTGTAGCCTCACAGTTAATAAAATAAACATGAACTCAATGTAACAAGTTATAACCTTATCTCCTTGACCTTTAACCTAACATCCTAAAATGTAGCGTCGATCACTGTCCCTGTGTATTAGTCGTGGGAAAAAAAGGAAAGAATGGTTTGGATCACCGTGGAGTTTACTGTCGGGTTTGGCAAATTCAGTCCCCAGCCCACAGAGTGCTTCTGGCCCGTCTCTGAGATCTCTGAAGAAGCGGTGGCTAAGTAGACAGGGACGGAGGTGAAATAAGAAATACAAAATAATAATATTCTCACCTGCTCTGTTTCGTCGTACACTGGGTGGCAGATGTGGTAGGCTGAGCAGCTGTTCTGTATGTCGGCGTAGAACCCGTACGCACGACTCTCGCATGAAAAACCAGGGTCAATGTGAAAGCCTCCGGGCAACCTCCCAGACATCCTTGCCGAGGCTGCAGCCAACACCGTCACCAGCAGGAGGACCACCTTCATCATAGCTGAGAGAAGGGTGTAGGTTTTAACGCTATAACTGATGGGAAACTGTTTAACCACCCATGTCAATCACACTCCTCCACCCACACCGTTACTACCTACACTCTCTCACCGTCACTCCCTCACCCTCACCACCCATATACCCCCACACTAGCCCACACTCACCACCTACACTCCACCACCCTCAACACCCACACTCCCCCACCCATACTACCTACAATCCTCCATACACTCCCTCACCCTCACCACCCACACTCCCACACCGTCACTACCTATACCACCCACAGTCCCCCACACTCCTTCACACTCAGCACAGTATTCACCTCAGATACTTCAACAGCTTGAATGATTCTCCATCCGTCATGCTTGCCTTTATATACCCTCTGCAAGGCTCCTGCTTGAGGGTGAGAATGTTGCTTGGGGGGTGAGAGCCTGTGCTTGAGAGTGAGGTTCTCCCGAAGTCTCCCGTTATAACCCCTGACCTGACAGTGGACTAACGACGCCAGCTTCCGTGCTCACCTGAACCTACTGACGGGGAAGACCTTCATCCCGGCGACGTACCTGAAGGTGAGCCTCCCTCGTTGTTTTATTTTGCTTTTAGCTGAAGATGAGACTTGTTTTTTTTCCTTCTTCTTTCTTCTTTCTTATTTCTTTTTTTTCCTTCTTTCTCCCTTCTTCCTTCTTCTCATTATTATTATTATTATTATCATTATTAGTATTACAAATATAAACAAATTGCATCAGTTTATTTCCAATATTTTCTTCATAGTTTGTTAAATATTTTGTTTTTCATTTTTCCTGAAGAGCGAAAATGAAAAATTAACTAAAGAATATCAAGGAAAATCAACAAAATAATAGAAAGAAAAAATAGATAAGGAAGGCTAGAGAAATTAAAAGAATAATGGAAATAAGAAAATTGAGAAATTAAGCAAAAAATACAAAAAGGGAAAAAATAAATAAACTACAGGCAAAAATTAAGTGAAAATGAAAAAAAAAGATAAATAATAACAAATAGAAGAAAATAATAAACAATAACTAACAAATAATAATAAAACAATTATCAAGTAAAAAAATTATATAAACTAAAATAAAGTTGATAAATAAAATAAAATAAATCACAAATAAATGTAACAAAGCTAGATGGAAAAAAATAATACATCAACTAGGAATGAAAAAAGGAAATGAAAGAAACAAAAGAAAACAGGATAAAAGAGTAAGTAAAAGAAAATGGAAAGTAAAAGCTTTTTTTTTCCGCGGTGAATCTTCAGGGCTTCAAGGGCGCCCAGTGTGGGGGGGTGAGAGAGGACGATGGAGACGGATGGGACTAGAGGTGAGAGAGAGAGAGAGAGAGAGAGAGAGAGAGAGAGAGAGAGAGAGAGAGAGAGAGAGAGGCAGATGGAGAGAGAGAGGGACAGAGAGAGAATAAGCAGATGGAGAGAGAGAGATAAGCAGATGGAGAGAGAGAGAGAGAGAGAGAGAGAGAGAGAGAGAGAGAGAGAGGTGAACCAGTCTTGCATTGTCAGAGAGCAACATTCTGATGACGTGATGAACGGAAATACCCGAGACTACCACAGGTAACCCGAAGGTGAAGACAAGGAGACCCGTAGGTGAAGACAAGGTGACCCTATAGGTGAACAAATATGACCAACAGATGAACACAGGTGAACAAAATCAACCATTAAGTGAACAATAGTGAACAACAGGGGAACACAAGTGACGAATAATTGAACAAAGTGACCAACAGATGAACACAGGTGAACAAAGGTGAACATGCATATTTCATTTTCTTCAATAACATTCTCATAAGAAAACAACATTACAAATCACCTAACCTAACCTAACCTAACCTAACCATTCTGCGTCATTCTTCCTTTACCACTGATGTAATATCCCGGTTTGGGAGATTACCCCTTCATCCTATCATGTGTGTGTGTGTGTGTGTGTGTGTGTGTGTGGTGTGTGTGTTGTGTGTGTGTGGTGTCATCATCATATGGATAGAACCTTGGCCAGGTAAATAGACTGACGTCATTAAGGTGATCGTCTGTGATTGGTTATTTCAGTCTCATTCGATTAGGAAAATTTCACCTCCACCTCTATCCGGGAGTTTCAGATTTCTGCAGTTTCCCCAGACGGATGGATTTCTCCCTTACGTACTGTTTTAAATAAGAATAACTACGGCTCAATATATGTGTATAATGGCCCGTCACAGTAGTTGTTACGTTAAGTTAGGTTTTTATAATGATGCTTTGGAATTGCGAAGGTATGCACAAGAAAGGCTTAAAACGCGTATTTTTAATATTTTAAGGTGAATTTTAACTAAATTTTTACCTATATTGATACTGTAGGATAAGATAGAGATAACCAATAGAACTGATACTCTCTCAACATAAAGACAATATAATATTTTTAATGATAAAGAGTATATACAAAATAATATGGCTTATGATAAACATAAATTCTTTTTATTTTGTAGTTAATATCCATCTTTTATGTCTACGTAAGCTACAGGTTGATTGGTGTCTCATACTGTAGAATATTAAATTATTTAGATTAGTTAAGTTGGTTCGTGCTTTTTTTTTCATCCTGCCTCACGAGTTGGTAATAAAAACCTGTTGAAAGAACTTTACATGACGTTTAAAGTGAGTCTTCCTTAAAATAGTTATGACGTTCATAAGAAGAAGACCTTAATTCAGTCGCCCTGAGGCAGCCAAGACCCGGCAGTGGCAGCGACCTCCACCAGGCGTTGAGTGAGGTGCCCTGATGATGTGTACCTCACGCTCGGACCTAGAGGCCACACTTCTCGTCCTCTAAGGTTACGTAAGAACCACTGGCCGACCTCCAGCAGCGTCTTGGGGGTGACTACGTGTTTGTAAAAAATGACAACGTGGCCTCCTGATCCCTGGGAACATGACGGATGCTCCGGAGCTACTTGGACCTCCACCAACCTGCTCATGACGCGGCTCATCATCTGGTAAAGGAGAAGACACCTGTGTCCTCAACTGACTGGTGCTGTGGATGGTGTAAACGACAATAAAACACACAAAAAAACTACAAATGTTGCGGTTCTTCCGTGGCGAGGATACAGGTTGGCTCTTCTCCAAATCCCTCCATGTTGGTCACGATTGTATTTCTAACACACAAACAAAACAATTGACTTTAGAATCTTCTGGGAGGGATTTTCTTAAAGACATTGTCAAATACGTCAACATTTCTCCCTACCAATAAATGTGTGTACAATTTTTTTTTGAGGGGGGGGGGGGCAGGAGGAGAGTCTGGGCATGTGCCTGTCAGGAGTTTGATGCATCACCTGGCAGAGTGTCGCCAAGCAATAAATAATGGTAAGCGTCCTACAAGTCCTGGAACAGCGTACGTAGTGTGAGGACAACACAGAGGAAAAGAGAGAGAGAACTAAAAAATAATATAATCACTCTTCATAATAACAACTAAAGCTAAAGTTAAGTCGTTTTTTATTTTTTAAGGTAATTTAAATAATTTTGTATGTTTCTTTTTGGTGCCTAAAGGAGTGGATATAATTCTATGATTCTGATATACAACAAATGGTTTCTAGTTCCTGTACACACACACACACACACACACACACACACACACACACACACACACACACACACACACACACACACAAACAACTTTCCAAACCACAAACAAGTCAGTCCTTCGCATCAGTTCCTCCTGACACGTAAAAACTTGACTTTTGACACACCTATGTGGCCTGTATCTAATGTGTCTGGCGTTGTATGTATCCTGTGTTGTATGTATACGGTGTTGCATGTATACGGTGTTGCGTGTATACTGTGTTGCGTGTATACTGTGTTGCGTGTATACTGTGTTGTATATATCTTGGAAAATTCTCCAACACTTGCCCAACACCATGGAGCAAATGACGTGTGGCAACAGCTGAGGTTTATGTATCCTTCGTCATTATAGTTACCCCTTGTATGTATCCCATGTATGTGTCCACTTTAATATACGTCCACTGGTGTAAATATCCGCCATTATGTGTCAGTATGTATATGTATCATCGGTAATATACGTCTTATGTTTCGTGTGTATTTTCAGTATACAGAATAGAGATTTTATGTTATATTATACTGTATTCCGTGTATAGATTTATCCCCTCGTGTATTAATTTAAAAGTGACTGAAATAAATTGTTCTGTGTTTTATAGTGTATTTTTAAGGATATATTTTTTTGTTTTTATAATTTGTGTATAGTTGATGATAAAAAGAATTTGGTAATGAAGGAGGTTAGGTTAGCATTTTCCGCAAATCTTAACCTAATTAAAACAGATCTGCGCATGATGTCACATAAGCAGTGGACCAAAATAAGCTCTCTGCGCATGACGTCACATGAGCAGTGGACCAAAATAAGCTCTCTGCGCATGACGTCACATGAGCAGCGGACCAAAATAAGCTCTCTGCGCATGACGTCACATGAGCAGTGGACCAAAATAAGCTCTCTGCGCATGACGTCACTTGAACCCCCCTCTCCTTCCTCACTCATCACCTCCCCCCCTAATTTTGTTTTCGTGGTGGATAACATTAATTAGTGTTTTGTTAATAATTAAATATGATTCCACTTTTAAATAACAACTTTTACTAATAAGATTAATACTACTACTAATACTAATAATACAGTATTTACATTATACAAGATACCAGTATTTTATAATGTATATTTTGTACAGAATAAACCACTTCTTCAATGTGTATACAATAAGAAATAACAAAATATTGATGTAAAAATAAAAGGATCTTGTATCTCCTGGAAAAAAAACTTGTCTTTCTTTTTGTGTTACAGATCTCAAAAGGACAATTCAGTATTGATGTCTCTGGCCCACACGCTACCAGCCTCAGATCAAGGAGGAGCTCGTGCTATGTGTCATCAAGGAGGAGCTCGTTAACTGGGGAGTCATAAAGGAGCTCGTGCTAAGTCATCAAGGAGGGAGCTCGTGCTAAGTCATCGAAAGGAGGAGCTCGTGCTAAGTCATCAAGGAGGAGCTCGTGCTAAGTCATCAAGGAGGAGCTCGTGCTAAGTCATCAAGGAGGAGCTCGTGCTAAGTCATCAAGGAGGAGCTCGTGCTAAATCATCAAGGAGGAGCTCGTGCTAAGTTATCAAGGAGGAGCTCGTGTTAAGTCATCAAGGAGGAGCTCGTGCTAAGTCATCAAGGAGGAGCTCGTGCTAAGTCATCAAGGAGGAGCTCGTGCTAAGTCTCCAAACGCCACTCTGAAGCTCCTCATTGGCATACCTCTTCTAGATTATCCCTCAAACGTTAAAATTTTTACACCATTCCTGAGTTTATTTTTGAGGAATTGAATTATTGACAATACATTATTACTGTACGCTCTACCTGTCTTATAATTAAAGGTAAGAAATCAATTTATGGTGCAAAAAAGAAAATTATAGACATTTAAAACCGACACTATAATTACAATGGTGCCAAAGCTCTACTAATCCCTCCCTCCCCCTCCCTCCCCTCCCTCGCCCCCCTCCCCTCCCTCCCCCGTCCCCTCCTCCCTCCTCCCCTCCCTCCCCCCCTCCCCTCCCCCTCCCCTCCTCCCCCCTCCCCTCCCTCCCCTCCCTCCCTCCCCTTCCCCTCCCTCGCCCCTCCCCTCCTCCCCCCCCCCCTCCCTCCCCTCCCCCTCCCCTGCTCATGAATTCTTTCTCTACAACTGTACAAATTAAGTGTTGAATAATCATGTCAAGGATTTATCATAAAAGACATATGTCAAATTAATTATTTTTATTCATATCTGACATGTTTCTTCCTGTAATGTGTGTGTGTGTGTGTGTGTGTGTGTGTGTGTGTGTGTGTGTGTGTGTTTCAGTGTGACAGGGGAGTGGTCGTGATACACTCGGGTGAAAATAAGTACAAATTGTGCGATAAATGATATTGTGGGGAATAAATGGTGATAATGAACTCCAAATAGTGGAAAATGTGATTAAGACAGAGAGAGAGAGAGAGAAAGAGAGAGAGAGAGAGAGAGAGAGAGAGAGAGAGAGAGTACTGGTAGGTAGCTGTCGTGTTGGTGATGATGGCAAATGCATAAGACCATGAGATTCGCTGTTTAATATCTGTGGTGGCTCCTGTATGTAGGTCCTGTGTATGGCTCCTGTGTATGGCTCCTGTGTATGTCTCCTGTGTGGGGCTCATGGCTCTTTACGTCTTCTGTGTGAGTCTCCAGATCTACCGCCGCAGCTCAAGGTTCTCCTCGGGGATGATGCCGAAGTTGGCATTGGAGATCTCGAAGATAGAGATGGCGTCGCCGCAGGGGAAGGCCTCCGTCGGGTGGGCGCAGGTGAGGGAGTCCTGGCTGAAGATGGCGTCCTGACCACAGATGAAGGAGAAGTGGGCCGTCTCGGTGAGCTGTGGCGGGGGGAGGAGGTGAGTGTGGGTAGACATGTTAATCACTAAGTAATATACAGGTACAGGTGATGGGATATAGGTATAGTAAGTAGTGTCTTGCTCCTGTCACAAATACTATGTAGCTCTGCATCGAACAACAGATAAGACTGAAAACATATGCCTCACCGTGCCGTCTTCCTCAGTCACTGGGTAACACACATGGAAGGCCTTGCAGTGATTCTCCACGTCAGCGTAGTAGCCAAAGGGTCGGTCGATACAGGAGAACCCTGATTGTAGGGCCCCGGATCCCCCAGGTAACATCCCTGCCATCCGGGCGGAGGTGGAGACGGCCAGAGCCACTAACACCAGAAGCTGTTTCATCATGGCTGTGGATAACGTTACACTTATGTCATGAAGGAAGGTGTTAGTGTAATCATTGGCGTCATCACTGTAAGTCTAAAATAAATAAATCGGGAAAATCATCAAATTCAGGAGACCTTTCTTAATACTGTGCACTAATACTGAAAAATATCATGTTATTATTTCTCAGTTTGTTGTGCGAGCTCAGGTGATCTCAAGACCTGGTACAAGCACACACGTAACATAGAAGCAGAATTGAAATTAGTTTTGGGTCATAATTTTATCTCTGCATCTCCGGCCACGGTTTTAGTGCACGGTAGAGGTACACACACCCACATACAACTACGCTTTCTATCTAAATTTACATGTCTATCTACTTATATATCTATCTTTATGTTGTTGTTTTTTTCGATTACTTGAGATCGAATCTTGGTCTCTCAGTATGATGGGAGAGTATGGATGCCACCTTGTCAAAACATAGGTCAACCCTCCTCCCCCCTACACACGCGTACTAATCATCTAACATCTGATAAACACAGTCGAAGGTTTGTACAGGCACTGGTAAATCTTCAACATCCACGTAAGTAATTTTTTTCCTCTGCGCCAAACATAACAGATCAGAATGCAAGTCACCCAGAAGTCACTCGAAGCAGTGATAGTAAACCACTGTGGACAAGATTTCTGTACACAAGGTCTCCTACTCGACTATATGTCCTAAAGATGGCCAGACGCTGGATCATGCTCTGGGACGTGATAAAGTTTTCAGTGTAGTTAGTTGTTTGACGAGACGAAGATAAAGTATGATGTTATTTTGTAATTTGTGACGGAAACACTTAATCACCAGTCAATGAGACACTCTGCTATGGTATAGGAAGACGCGAGAGGGATGACCTCTTACCTGAGCAGGCGAGTTGCTGAGGGAAGTACTGCTGAAGCTCCTACACCTGCGTGCTTATTTATACCTGGTGGGAGAGCCAAACAAGCAGCACCTGGTCCTGTGTGGAGGTGGAGGAGAACTGGACGTGGCGAGGTTGTCGAGGATCAGGGCCGGGAAGTGAGTAGCTGAGAGATGACATCACTCTTGTGGGTCATGACATACTCATGTCGTGTAAAGGAAAGTGAAGAGGACAGGTTGACCAATTGCTTGACCCAAAAACTCCAATTACTGACAAAATAACCGCAACTAAACCTCACCATAAACACGTCCACAAAATATTTTCGACTTGCAACAACAGACGGAAGGTGGAAAAAAAAATTTACCTGTAGTTGAGAATAAATATTACCGGAATGACTACATTGTTTAGTCTATCATTAACCCTAATTGTTACGTACAACTTAATGAATAAAGTATATGTTTCAGACACATAACCACCCGAGACTGTGAAGAGGCATTTGTTACACGGTGAAGATAACGGTTTGTGACGCAGAGGAACCAGCACCACCACCACCACAACCTCACTCTAAAGGCGGGATAAACCTTGACCAAACCTGAAAACATGTCACTACTTTTTGCTTTTTCAATCACTTTAAAGGTGTACATAAACACTACTGCCATCTGCTAGCGTCAACCAGAACTACAACAAGGCGAATTGAACGTAAACAATAAACAACTCTGAAAAATAAACAGAAACAAAAGACTGTCTACATTTTTAAGTGTAGTGCAGCAGATCTCTCAAGACACTGACGCCCTTGTAGGTCTGGGTGCCTGCAGTGAACCTCTACCCTTCGTTACCTGTGCTGAACTTCGTGCTAAATTATATAGTTTTTTTATTTAGGTAATTGATAACATTCCCACGCCTATTATCCACTGTCACGATTCAGCAAAACGTCTTTACCTGCGCTTGTTGATGTTGTGTGTGTGTGTGTGTGTGTTGATGGTCTACTCAGGTCCCTGCCGAGATGAGGGAACTTAACTGAGGAATGGAAGAACCGGGATAAAATATAAAGACGGAAATGAGAACGTGGATGTAGGGAGACCATCCACAGACACCAGGATATAGGAAAAAATTTACCTCACTACAAACTACAATAGCGAACGAATGTAACCAAAGCCATTCAAGAGATATAACAAGGAAGTGTTCTCGTCAGTATTAGGATTGAGTCCTTCTGAAAGTCATGTTTACGAAACGAGGAAGTTTGGCAGGAGGCTCTAGGGAAGGCCATTGAGCACATTTCATATTTTCTTCACTGTACCCGCTGTGTTTCAAGCCAGCCAGCCAGGGAGAGAAACGAGTTTGGGTGGCCCAGCAAGGTGTGAAATGGGGTGATACTTACCTTTTAACACACACACACACACACACACACACACACACACATGGGTAATAAGAGACGATAAGTTATGCAAAGCTTTTATTAAGAAACATAACCTAACCATAATAATGACGATAAGAGAATTATTACCCCTATTTTCCCCCTTAAATCGACTCTTCTGGTGTACTAAGGAAACGTATGTGTAATTATTTATTTAAGAGTCTAATGATTTATAGGGTGTAGGACTGCAGGTGTTAACAAGTGACTGTCAGCATCCTTAGCTAGTAGACGAGTGGGGAGTTACTTGTGGTGTTGGGGACAAGATTACACGAGGATATACGATACAATATTAAAGTCTTAGGAAGGGTTTATTTGTATCAAGAAACCTATTTAAGGAAGAATTAATACTAAACTTTCTGAGAATTTATTGAGTTAGGTGATGAATTTTCCTGTAATCTGGTCATTAATTGATCTAATATAGAGAGATCTTTAGCGTGACAAAGATCAATATAAATAAAGACTCAAAACAAACAAAAACAAAAGAGCATCAGCTTCGATAAAACCCAAGACAGGAACCCGAGTGAAGTTCAATAAGTTAAACAATAAACACAGTTAATCTCACAGGAAGTAGGATCAAGATAGGATTGAACACCACTACACTACCACAGGTTTTTCCTTTGGCTCCGGTTCGATACGGAGTTGTAGGTTTGAGGAGTCGTAGATGGAGGCGGCTTCAGCACAGGGGAAGGCTATGTTGGGCTGAGAACAGTCTAGTTGTTCCTGGTTGAAGATAGTGTCTTGGCCACACATAAACGTGAAGTGTGCTAACTCCATAAGCTGCAGGGGATAATGGGTCAGTGGTGGTCAGTTTTGGGCTACTACTACTACTACTACTACTACTCTACTTACTCTACTACTACTACTACTACTTCTACTATTACTACTACTACTACTAATAATAAAATAATATCAATAAAAATCTCATTCCAATATTGTACCATAATTATTATAAAAAATATGAAAATATTATCAAGAAAACGAATGAAAGACAAGGATGTTAGGTTAGGTTAGGTTAGGTTAGGTTAGGTTAGGTTAGGATAGGTTAGGTTAGGTTAGGTTAGGTTAGGTTAGGTTAGGTTAGGATAGGATCTATGTAAGTCTTATTAAACTTCACCTGATCAACGTCATTGAGGAATGGCTGGCATATGTGATACGCCTTACAGTCGTTCTCCACGTCGGCGTAATAACCATACTCACGTCCCTCACACGAGAAGCCTGGCTGTATACTGAAGCCTCCAGCCACTATCCCAGCCATCCTTGCCGAAGCTGCAGCCACCACCGTCACCAGCACTAGAACCACCTGCATTATGGCTGACAAAAGAGAGAGTGCAGTCACTCTGTGCTCTCTACATTATAAACACTGCACTATTTTTCTCCATCTTCCATTTCACTGTTTTTTGTAACGTCACTCAATACACAACAATGAAACACACTACAACATGTAAACAATGCTAGCTAGGTAGTGAGGGGGGGGGAGGGTGGGGGATGGTGAAGGAAAAAAGATACTGAATATTTAGAAACAGCTGGTAGGCCATCACCACCCCCCCCCCTCCTCCCCTCCGGTACATCAACGTTAACAATCCGTCACTTAGTTATGTCAGAGTTTCACCAAAGCGAGTGATTGGTTACTGTGAACTCGGGGGGGGGGGGTTTGTTCACAGTTTACTATATAACTAGACACAGTACAGTAATGTCATTTGTTAATTCACTACGTAGGGTCAAATTCAAGTATTATTTGTGTTCCATTGTTAAGTTTACATTCTATGCATGAAGACTGATATTATAGATTACTGAAGAAAACACAACTATTATTAATAACCTAAAATACTCCTTTTCTACAGCTATAGAGACCAGTTATAACATCAAGTAGTCGATTATAGTTGATAATCACTATTTTGTTGTCCATAATGATGATGAATCCTTACCTGGAGTATTGTGAGAGCTGTTGCAGTAGAGGGATAGAGATATACTACAGGGCGTGGCGTGAGTGTGGCAGCGAGCGGTCACCCAGTTTCTAGAGCAGCTGGATCAGAACTGGACCTACATGGGAGGCAGTCCAGACCAGGGCGGTAAAGGTTGGGTGCTAGTCATAGATTTATTCATATTTTCTATTGGAATGGACATGATATAATAATTCTAGTTAAATATCATAGGAGGAGATATGTCTAATTATGTATATTATTTACATATCTGGTTACGCTAATATGTAAGCCCGGAGAATGGACGAGCGTTAGTTCCAAATTCTGGCTCAATACTTGCAACTCTTTACTCGTGTGATCACTTTCTCCTTCTCGTTCACCTTTCCATATCTTTGACAGGTGTGGTGGCGTCACTTAATACACCCTACTTACTTAAATCTATACTAAAACAAAAAAGGATACTAACAGATAGAAAAAATAAAGTTTATAGGAATTTATATTTAATCTCAAGTGGTTATCAAAGGGTAGAGACGAACCTTCAAAGGGCGAGAGTCTGTGTGAGGCTGTGTGAGGCTGTGTGAGGCTGTGTGAGGCTGTGTGAGGCTGGGTGAGTCTGTGTGAGTCAGTGTGAGGCTGTGTGAGGCTGTGTGAGTCTGTGTGAGGCTGTGTGAGGGTGTGTGAGGCTGTGTGAGGCTGTGTGAGGCTGTGTGAGGCTGTGTGAGGCTGTGTGTGAGAGCTGTGTGAGGCTGTGTGTGAGGGCTGTGTGATGAGACACCATACAGCACAGTGAAAGGCGGTGGACACACATTACCTCAGAGATACGAACTGAGAAGGTCAAGGCTACAGTGACCAGAGATTAAAGCAAGCACACACACACGCGCACACACACACACACACACACACACACACACACACACACACACACACACACACACACACACACACACACACACACGAAATTATAGCCCCTCACTATGCCACACTCTATCCTCCTGCTAACCTAACCTAACCTAACCTCTAGCTTTGAGGATGGACTGTGTGTGTGTGTACAGTACATGGCAACTTTCATCCTGGCTCACAGACATATCAGTTATTATTATGGTAATCTGTCAGAGTGAGGGAGGGAAGGAGGGATTGTGTGAGGGAGGGGGGTGGGGGGGAAGGGAGAGTATGGGAATGGGAGGGAAGGGGGAATGTGGGAGGGAGGGAGGCAAGAGTGTCCCAGACTATCTTGGACCCGCCTAAGGTTACCGAGGACGTGAACACAATTACCTGTATAACTCCACTGAAAGATAATCATCGGAACATAAGCCTGAATTAACCTTTAACACACTCATTTAAATATGAAAAGACAATGGAATAAAAACAAAACCATATACCACGGTTGACAGCTACACTCTTCTGCCTCACACACACACACACACACACACACACACACACCTCCAGCGGTCACCACACTTGAGGAAATTAGTCGTGTTTTTATATATTAAGGATATCAAGGAAGAGGAGACAAGGATGAAACCTGAAGACTTAAATTTGATGCTACTAATGGAGACGTAAAGGTGTATGAACTAAGATCCATAGACCTTCAAACTCACATACTATGGTGAGTCTTATTCAAGGTAAAAGTACTTGAAGATGATATACACAAGTGAAAGTTCTCAAGTGCCGTCAACAACAGCGGACATATCGTAAAGAAGAGCCAATAATGATGTCATGTCATTGTAAAGTGTTGTCTCACGGCCCACTCTTCCCTGCCCTTCCCCTTACCCTTCCTTACACCTTCCTCACCCCTTGCCCATTCCTCCTCCCCCGACCGTTCTCCTGTCCGCCCTCTCCTTCACCTTCCTTCTACCTTCCCCCCTCTCCCTCTCCCCCTCCCCTTTCTCCTCCCTGTCCTTCTCTTCCCCCACTCCTCTTCCCCCTCCCTTTCTATAAGACTCCATGAGGTGTTCTTCAATCATGCGGGTCGACCTCAAGAGTACAGGGTGAGACTCATGTGATGTGGCTATGAGATAAAAGATGTTTTGCTCTCTGTAGATATAATATAATTGGGACAAATACTTCCATGCAAGACACAACATTTCTTTCTAACATAGGACTGTGGGCTGGATACCAAATACACAGAACGTCCTTGTGTGTGTGCTCGTCGGGATGATGTATGAGCAGCTAGTACCTCCTGTCACTAGTTATGTTCTACTCAGGTTCTAGATTGAGATGTGATCCAGCTCCCCCACACTCACTCCAACTTCTGATCTAATCTTATCTCAGTTCCTGGTGCTCTGGTGGTAGTTATTGGTGACTCTAGCGGTGATCAATGGTGAATCACCTTTACCTCAGTCACCAGGATCTTACCCAACAAGTTCAACCAGAAAGAGAAAGAGTGTGGGTGATGTTGCCGTACTTATCCACATCATCACCAACAAGAATAACTACATCGGTCACCTGTTGAAGGGAGGTAGAGTGTGGGCAGCAGTGTGTGTGTGTGTGTGTCAGACGTCCCCATCGTCATTTACACAACACCCACGTCGAAGAGCCCAGTGTGTGTGAGACTCACCAAGGACGCTAGCCCGTCTACCTGGCTATACTGTACATGCTGGACCATCTGCCTTGCCACACACACACACACACACACAATAATAATAAACACACACACACACACACACACACACTCACACACACACACACACACACACACACTGAATCCTAGCACCGGGGTAACACTGTGATGAGGGAAGAGGAGGGATGGAGGGAATGATAAAGGGAAGGATTGAGAGAGGGGGAGGGGTATGAAAGGATGGAAAGATGGGGGAATGGATAGATAGGGGGGGGGAGGAGGAAGGAAGGAATAGGAGGAGTATAATGGAAGGATGAATGGAGAGAAGGGAGAGAAGGGAAGGTTGGAAGGTTGGTCACAGAACAAGCATTACCAAACACTGACTGGATATCTAAGGTCACTCCTGCTGGTGCGGCCTCCTTCCGTTTGATCAGTAAAACATAACTGTAGAACATGAACGATAATTACAGACAATAAAATAACAGGAAAATAAAAGGAGATACAAAGACGATAACCTTTGACCCCTTCCTCGTCTGTCTTAACCCTTTCAGTTACGTGATTTAACCCTTTTAGAATGATGACTTAACCCTTTTAGAATGATGACTTAACCCTTTTAGAATGATGACTTAACCCTTTTAGAATGATGACTTAACCCTTTTAGAATGATGACTTAACCCTTTTAGAATGATGACTTAACCCTTTTAGAATGATGACTTAACCCTTTTAGAATGATGACTTAACCCTTTTAGAATGTGACTTAACCCCTTTAGAATGATGACTTAACCCTTTTAGAATGATGACTTAACCCTTTTAGAATGATGACTTAACCCTTTTAGAATGATGACTTAACCCTTTTAGAATGATGAATTAACCCCTTTAGAATGATGACTTAACCCCTTTAGAATGATGACTTAACGTGATTTAACCTTTAGAATGATGACTTTACCCCTTTAGAATGATGACTTAACCCTTTTAGAATGATGACTTAACCCCTTTAGAATGATGACTTAACCCTTTTAGAATGATGACTTAACCCTTTTAGAATGATGACTTAACCCTTTTAGAATGATGACTTAACCCTTTTAGAATGATGACTTAACCCTTTTAGAATGATGACTTAACCCTTTTAAAATGATGACTTAACCCCTTTAGAATGATGACTTAACCCTTTTAGAATGATGACTTAACCCTTTTAGAATGATGACTTAACCCCTTTAGAATGATGACTTAAATGATGACTTAACCCTTTAGAATGATGACTTTACCCCTTTAGAATGATGACTTAACCCCTTTAGAATGATGACTTAACCCCTTTAGAATGATGACTTAACCCTTTTAGAATGATGACTTAACCCTTTTAGAATGATGACTTAACCCTTTTAGAATGATGACTTAACCCTTTTAGAATGATGACTTAACCCCTTTAGAATGATGACTTAACCCTTTTAGAATGATGACTTCACCCCTTTAGAATGATGATTTAAACAATGACTTTCCATCATTCTTATCTATATCCAATAAAGTTTACATGATGTTTGTTTTTTGTCAATTGAAAATCAAAACAAAGAAAAACAAAAACAACATTCGTCTTTCTTCTTTCAAAACAAAATAACAAAATAAGCAAAAGACATTTTCTAAACATTATTAATAAGATTTTCTTCCAAAGTAAAATTCCTTATAAAAAATTTACCGATAGTTTGGTTCATTATATAATTTCTCAACAAATTTTAACGACGATGATAAAATCTAACATTAGCCAACGTGTCATATAAAATTTGAATTAATGTTAAACTGTAAAGAATAAATATACTACATTACTACACTGCTTCACTCTACCATCTAAAGCTGAGTACAGTAAAGATCACCTCAAGCTTAGACACACAAAGCTTATTTCACTTGAAGGTTATAGGTTAGGTTGGGTTAGCGTTAGGTTGGTTAATATTCAGGTGATAATGTATGCAGGAGTGTTTAGCGGCCTCCAGCGTCCATCTGAAGGTCGTCTGATGGGGCGGGGGTAGAGAGAGAGAGAGAGAGAGAGAGAGAGAGAGAGAGAGAGAGATTGACTATATTGACCATTTACTTCATTGAACTTGGATCCATTAAGACTTGAGGCCCTTAGGTTAGGTTAGGCTAGGCTAGGTTAGGTTAGGCTAGGTTAGGTTAGACGCTGGGGGATTAGTACTTCTTGCGTCTGGGCCCATTTAAGGTACCAGCCACGGAACTGTAGTACAAGGTTTCAGTCAGTCTCTACCCTTTCCTCTTACGAGCCACAGCACGACCACAAGCAGGGAGGGAAGGGGTGGGGAGGGATGGGGAAGTGGAGGGGCGAGGAGGGAGGAGGTGGGGCGGCGAGGGATGGGAAGATGGGGAGAGATTGAGAGGGAAGGGGAGAGAAGAAGAGGGATGGGGGAGAGGAGGGTGGAGGGGAAGGGGGAAGAAAATGAGTGGGAGGAGAAGGAGAGGGAAGGAGAAGAAAGAGGAGAAAAAGAGAGAGAGGAGAGGGCACTAGTTAGCCTCACCATCCTCCTAAATATCCAATTCTGACCCGTAATCTTTCATTCTATTTTGAT